ATGCAAGTCTAAAATCCAAAGTGGTAGTCAAATTTTAAAGCTCCAAAATGATCTCCTTTGACTCCAGGTCACACTGATGCAAAAGGTGTGGTTTTGCAGGGTACAGCCTCCCTCCTGGCTGTTTTCATGGGCTGGTATTGAGTGCCTGTGGCTTTCCAGGCAGATGGCACAAATTGCCAGTGGATCTACCATTCTGGGGTCTGGAGGATGCTGGCCTTCTTCTCACAGCTCCACTAGGCAGTGCCCCAGTAGGGACACTGTCGGGTATCCAACCCCACATATCCCTTCCACATTGCCCTAGCAGAGGTTTTCCATAAGAGCCCTGCCCCTGCAGCAAACTTTTGCTTGGGAATCCTGGCATTTCCGTACTTTCTGAAACCTAAGGAGAGGTTCCCAAACCTCAATTCTTGATTTCTGTGCACCAGGTGGAAGGCTCAACACCATGTAGAAGCTTCCAAGACTTGGGGTTTCCACCCTCTGAAGGGAAAGCCTGAGCTCTAGGCTAGCTCCTTTCAGCCACTTTCAGCTCCTTTCAGGCTCCTTTCAGCTGGTATGCAGGGCACCAAGTCCCTAGCCTGCGCATAGCACAGGGACCCTGGGCCCGGCCAATGAAACCACTTTTTCCTCCTGGGCCTCTGGTCCTGTGATAGGAGGGGCTGCTGTGAAGGTCTCTGACATGGCCTGGAGACATTTTCCTCATGGTATTGGGGATTAATATTTGCCTCCTTGCTACATATGCAAATTTCTGTGGCTGGCTTGAATTTCTCCTCAAACAATGTTTTTCTTTTTTATATCATCAGGCTGCCAATTTTCTGAACTTTTATGCTCTGTTTCCCTTTTAACATGGAATGCTTTTAACAGCACCCAAGTCACCTCTTGAATGCTTTGCTGCTTAGAAATTTCTTCTGCCAGATACCCTAAAAAACCTCTCTCAATTTCAAAGTTCCACAAATCTCTAGGGCAGGGGCAAAATGTCACCAGTCTTGTTGCTAACACTTAATAACAGTTACCTTTGCTCCAGTTCCCAACAAGTTCCTCATCTCCATCTGAGTTTACCTCAGTCTGGACCTTATTGTTGATATCACTATCAGCATTTTTGTCAAAGCCATTCAACAAGCCTCTAGGAGGTTCTAAACTTTCCCACATTTTTCTATCTTCTTCTGAGCCCTCCAAACTGTTCCAACCTCTGCCTGTTACCCAGTTCCAAAGTCACTTCCACATTTTCAGATATCTTTTCAGCAACAGCCCACACTACTGGTACCAATTTACTATATTAGTTCATTTTAACACTGCTGATAAAGACATACCTGAACCTGGGAACAAAGAGAGGTTTAATTGGACTTACAGTTCCACATGGCTGGGGAGGCCTCAGAATCATGGAAGGAGGTAAAAGGCACTTCTTACATGGCAGTGGCAAGAGAAAAATGAGGAAGAAGCAAAAGTGGAAACACCTGATAAAGCCATCAGCTCTTGTGAGACTTATTCACTATCACGAGAAAAGCACGGGAAAGACCAGCCCCCATGATTCAATTACCTCCCCCTGGGTCCCTCTCACAACATGTGGAAATTGTGGGAGATACAATTCAAGTTGAGATTTGGGTGGGGACACAGCCAAACCCTATCAATTCTCATTTAATGTTAAGATCCTCTCCTGTTTCAATGTTGCAGTGTTATTCTCCCAGGAAAGGCAGAACCTCTGAACACAGTGTTTACCTACTTTTTACTCAGGTTTGCCCAAGAAGATTCATTTTCAAAAGAGATCACTTGCTTAACAAAGCTACTAAACAGTCATGAGAAAGCACTACAGCTGCCCCCTTCTAAATGGCAGGTGTTTCTTTCATGATCTGCGTTTTATGCCAAATGCAAGGAACTTCCCCTCTGGCTGCCCCTCCTCACATTTTTGCCATCTCCTATCAGTCTCCCCAGATCTGGCCCATCCTTCATAGTCCCATTCTTGTTCATTCAGCCCCTATGCACTTTTCACTCTGTTGCTTGTGCTTGATTCCATTTATTCCGGTGGGAATGATCAAATCAGAGAGAATTCCTGGCTGGGCTCTAATACTCACCTCCAGCAGTGAAAAGCCCATTCTGTGCAAGTGGGCTCCAGGTATCCGGTGAAAGCCTGCTCTGGAATGTGAATGGTCAGTGCATTACAAAGGAGGGCGCAAGGAGTGGAGTGAACAGTTCGCCCTTTTGCTATGGAACTTTAATGCAATCAGGGAATACTTGACTTGAAACAAATGCTAGGCGAAAACAGTTGTATTTCATTTTGTCTTTATTATTTTTTAAAACTTTGTTGAGAACCCCAGAAAGAAGATTTGGGGGATGGGATTGATCTGTTCTGACCAGAATGCTGAATCCCAGTGATTTCCCCAGATTAAACCAGGCTCCAGGAAGACAGCAATTTTCTTATTGCTGCAGTATCTCAAAAACACTAAAACAGCAAGTTTATTGAATGCCTATTTTGAAGCAAGGCTAGTGGGAAATGGAAAGAGACAAAGATGAAAAAGACATAATCCATGTCCTCCAGGAGTTTACAAGCTAATGAGAGAACCAGTCGTGTAAATATGGACACAAAGTGGATTAGATGTTTATTATATAATATGGTTAAAGTGTGATCCCCATGGGTCTCAGAGACCCTCTTGAAGGGTTGAAAGGTCAAAACTATTTTCATAATTACGCTAAGACATTACCTTACTTTTCCAGAGGCTACGGGATGTATGCTAATGCCACTGCCCTGACTGCTAATAGAATGTATGCTTATGTATTCTTGAGTTTTAGAAAAAAATCCTCAGTCTTAATTTCTAATGCATCAACTGCAATAGCAATATCAATAGGTAAAACCTGCACAGGCAAAAGTTCTTTGAGGTCCTTGGAAATTATTAAGAGTATACAAGGGTCCTGAGACCAAAAATTTGAGAACTGCTAAGATTTAATGCATCAACTACCATTACACAGTGTGCTTGTTTCTCATTAATGCATTTTATATAGCAATTATTTTATCTAATCCCATGAAAATCACTTTATTGGATGCTTTTGACATATCCTTATTTTCTAGCATCGTAGCTATTAGGTCATCTAATTATTAATCTGTTTGTGTCTTTGGGTTTAAATGTGTCTTTTGAGGCCACACAATGTTGGACTTCATTTTTTAATGGAGCCAACAATCAGCAATTGTTAATGCATTTGCTTTGTTTTCTATTACTCTGCAGTTTATCTTACTCATTGTTATTTTTGCTTTCTTTAAATTTATGTTTTCTTAATGGACTTTAAAATTCATTATTTCTTTTTTATGTCAGACAATAAAGGTCCCTAGTCTGCCCATCTTTCTATCATTTCAGCATCATCATATTTCAAAATAACTTTTCATTGTTTCCTACAATTTTACTATTAATAGTATAGGATTAAGAAAATAAACCTTATCTGGGTTCTGGCTGGTACTTCCTTTCCTCTAGGGATGAAAACGGAGTCTAGTCTGTAATACATCTTGCTATCATGCATATCTTTATAAAATTATACAAATGTATCTTACAGTTCTAAAGGCATGTAATCTAATTTTTACTTGAATTTTATCTTTTTTCTCTTTTTGTCCTTCATAGACCTCGAGCTCTGTCTAGCCCTCAACTGTTCTCAAATCTCCATTGTTTTCTACAAGTGACCCTCACAGCTGTGAGCCTTTGTTGACAAATTGTTTCATCTCCTCTGGGTCTTAAATTATTTTTTCTTACTCTAAAGTGAAAATTTGATGAGTGTTTCCAGATACTGCACTTGGAATCATAACTTAATTTCCCTTAACCTTGTGTAAATTCTGTCCCCCACTACTCCCAACTCCTATCCCTCCTCCAAAGCACTGATACTTATTATCACATTTAAATTTTTTCCCTGCTCTACTGATAACTTACAGAACGCAGGATTGCATTGTGATGGGGTAATTTCCATGATTTGATTGGTTGGTTTTGAGTTGAAAAACTTAACAATGATACAGCTTAAATTCTTTGAGGATTGTTCCTTCATGAATTCATGCTACGGACATACTGAGGTGGTTATTTTTATATTCCCTGATAATAAATTCTAAATTGCTAGGGGTTTCTCACCACCCTCAACCTTTTACTGTTACTAGATCTATTTTTAGCTGGTGTGGGCGTCCCCAGCTAGTTTCACTTGCCTAATGCTAGTTCTTTTTTCTTCTACATCAGGTCGCCTCTTCCTAGCATCTTCTCCATGCTTCTTGTTCCTCTACAGAATTTACAAGACCCAGTTTAATAGTTTTGTGCTTTTTTTGTCACTCATTATTTCTTCTTTGTTCTCTGTTAAAGTAATAAGTGTACGATCCATTGCACTTGCCTTAGAGTCTTGAACCAGTCTTGGATTTCCCGCCATCTGGGTTCTGGCTGGCTTGCAATTTCTCCTTTGATGTTGTAATACTTTTTCATTGAACTTGAGTGTGGGGCTTATAGAGCTTGTTTGCTTTCATTATTTTTTCCCAAAATGTGCACATTTTTTTTCTTAAGCTTATTTTGCTGTTTTGTGCTGTTATTTTTAATTGCTTCCGACTGGGTGGGAGAGTAGGGGGACTGAAAGTGAGATTTGGCTTGAGTTTGGCTCTCTTTGCTATTACTCACATTTCCCCCCAGAAGCCCTACATGCACTCCTCTCTCTCTGTCTTTGACAAATCACTTTTGAAAGATCATTGATCCCTGGCGTAAATGGTGTTAAGAGTAAGATGGACTTGGGTAGGGATGCTCAGGAATCCAGTCCTGTACAGTCATGAGCTTGGCCATCTGGAAGTCTCCTCTTGCTCAATGAAATGGAGTAAACATTGTCCATTATGAAATCCACCACACAGGCTGCCAGGGACGAATGGGATCCCACCCAAAGCCAATCGCTGCTCTGACAGGGAAATTGGCTAGCACTGCCTGAGACTACTCCAGCCTCCCCCGTCCCTGATGTCACAATTCAGAGGCTGCTGCCTGCTTAGGAGGTTGTAGAAAGCTCTGTAGGTTCTCTCTGTGTGTCCTACAGGAGTCTTCAGGCCAGCTCCCTGTCGGATGGCTTTTATGAAAAAATATCTCCTCCCCATTCTGGGGCTCTTCATGGCCTACTACTACTATTCTGCATATGAGGAATTCAGACCAGGTAAGTACCCATGTGTCTCACTTTGGAGGAATAGGTTTTAAAAACACAGGGGTGCTTAGTGTTCCTGAGGACCAAGATGGTTCTTGATCCTCAAAGTTGGTGAAAATGAGGGAACCCTGAGGTAAAACAGTACTTTTGTGTCCTCCAGCTACAGGCTGTGGGCAGGGGGGAATGTGTAGGGAGGGTAATCGTGTAGCCAAAATCTTGCCAAATAGGCCATGCTTTATTTGGCACCCTTAATGGAAAGCAATTTCAAATATTCTACAAAAATGAGAGTAATACCCAAATTCACAACTCAGCCAGCTAATTGGGCTCTATGAAGAGACTGATAAGTGGGAGGCAAAGAAAAAAAAAAATCTCTGGAGATGATGACTACATAGAAGTGAGGGAAAATCCCTGGAATTTCTATGAACACATGTGTTTTGATTCCTTGTTAAATATACTTTCAATTGAGCAAAATTGAAAGAGTCCAGAAATGTCTGGAACTCCAGCATTTTAGCTGAACCATGTATGACTTTTCTGGCCTCATCCTATGATCTCTTTCCATGGAGGTTTTTAGAAATGACAGTAGGGAGGCTGTCAGCCCAAACCTCCCACTTCAGAGCATGTTTATGAAAGACGTGGCCTGTTCCCACAGTGATTTACACAGTTTGTGACAAACTGATCTGGGCTCATAACCTTTAAGTTACAAATTGAGATAAGCCTGCCTATATCCAGAGAGGGAGAAGGAATTTTGCTGCCAACTTGGGTATGGTCCTCACTTCCTTTTGGGGTTCCTCAGAGATGCTCCAAGGAAAGAAAGTGATTGTCACAGGGGCCAGCAAAGGGATCGGAAGAGAGATGGCTTATCATCTGGCGAAGATGGGAGCCCACGTGGTGGTAACAGCGAGGTCAAAAGAAACTCTACAGAAGGTGAGGGTTCCATGCCCGCAGATACATGTACCCTCACATGCCCAGATGTGTTCTTATATATGCTCACATATACACAGAAGCTAGCATATCGCAGATCTATATACAGATGCACATGCACACACACACACACACGCTTAATTTTGTACTCTCATATATAGATTCAAACACCAAAAAACCCACAGGAATATAAAAGTATGCATTTAAATATTCATTTGTGTGTGTGTGTGTGAGAGAGAGAGAGAGAGAGAGAGAGAGATATTCTGCAACAGAGTCCTTGAGCTATACATGCTCACAGACATGCCTAGTCACACACATTTACACATTGAACTACAGATACATAGAGATGTTTTCAAAAACTGAAATCCCAGTACCTGCTCATGAATACGTATCCTCATACCCATGCAGACTCCCAGGCACATGCCCTCTCATAGACTCACAAACCCAAAGATGTACAAACATTCACAAACCTAGAGCTACCCACATAGTAACCAACATCTACACTCATATTGCCTTCAGAAATACTTATTTACAGAAGCCATGAGCATAAATCATGAACTTAAACCCCAGCACTGTGATGATTTATTCACTTACATCCCACCGTGTTCCAGAAAATATTTCAGAGAGAGGACGATGATCATGAGGGTTATATTCGGCAACGCACACACAAACATACTTACCATTTCTTACCTAAACAGGGCTGTGAGCAATCTCTCATTTAAGCCCCCCATTACTTCAGATACTATGCCCCAAAAGTCTGCAGCTAAGACTGATGCCATTTCTGCTTTGTCATTGCAGGTGGTTTCCCACTGCCTGGAACTTGGAGCAGCCTCAGCACACTACATTGCTGGCACCATGGAAGACATGACCTTCGCAGAGCAATTTGTTGCCCAAGCAGGAAAGCTCATGGGTAAGGCTGTTTCTCTTCCCTCCTCCTCTGAACTTTGCCCTTGGGGTCACCAAAGAGCTTTTGGGAGGAGAATGGGAAAGGAGTCAACCCCAGATGATTTCTTAATATAGCCATCTCTTGCAGGAGGACTAGACATGCTCATTCTCAACCACATCACCAACACTTCTTTGAATCTTTTTCATGATGATATTCACCATGTGCGCAAAAGCATGGAGGTCAACTTCCTCAGTTATGTGGTCCTGACTGTAGCTGCCTTGCCCATGCTGAAGCAGAGCAATGGAAGCATTGTTGTCGTCTCTTCTTTGGCTGGTGAGTGGGAGAGGGACCAAAGTGGAAGGTAAAAGAAAAAAAAAAATGCCAGGGATGATGCTAGCCTCTGAAGTAGACATAAATTTTTATCAGTTTCCCTGCAGAGAAGTAATAAGGGATTGGTCAAGGTAGGTGGGCTACAAAATTCTTTTAAGTAACGGAGAAAAAGCAGCAGCTCAGATTGCCCATTGGAAGCCTGAATTGTTTTCTACAAAGGAAGGTCAAAGGGACTTGAGGGGCTGCTGGAGGTACAGCCTGTTCTGGTCCTAAGGGAGAGGCCTAGTTACAATATTAACTTGAAGTTGAAATGTTCATAGTAATATTAAACAAAAGCTGATTAACAGCTTACTCATACGCATGAACAGGCAGATGTACTGATAAGAGACTTGCAGGGGGATGATTTGTGGACTCAATGAGAGGCACGTATCCCGAGTAAAGAAGACACTGTTACAAACTAGTGACACCATAAAAAAATGAGGGATTGGTCAAGGTAGATGGGCTACAGAATTCTTTTAAGTAACAGAGAAAAAGCAGTAGTTCAGAGTGCCCATTGGAAGCCTGAATTGTTTTCTACAAAGCAAGGTTGAAGGGACTTAAGAGGCTGCTGGAGGTACAGCCTATCTTGGTCCTAAGTGAGAGACCTAGTCACAATGGATAAAAAGGACTTTGCTTGCTCCATAACCAAAAACCATAGGTTGGTGAAGTTATATAATGTGAAGGTAGAACAGAGAAGTGAACTATTTCAACAACACACAGTTGTCTGATAAGTGGGCTAAGCTAAAGCTAAATAAAATGAACAACAAGAAAAAAAAAAAATGAACAGACCTGCCTATACTGGGTGTATTCTCCAAAATCTGAACATGTTAACATGAAAAGATCAATTTAAACAACCAGCTGGGTAGGGAGGAAATGTGTCCAGGGAAATATTCATGAAAAGATCTCTGTGGGATCAAGAGAGGTCCCTGGTGTTCTGGATGGTGGTAGTATCAGAAGCCATCACCAGTAAAAAAAAACCAGTGAGTTCCCAGCTCGGGACATTTCTAGGCCCGTTTTTATCATAGATCCAGGAGACAAGTTCCGCACATCTTTGTTGATTAGTCAGTTAGAAGGAAAGTGCAAACACCAGGATCAAAATCTGCCATCTAAGTGTAGTTCCTGGCAAAATAAAAACAAATAACCTAGAGGACTCTGTAAACTATTAAGCACTTCACAAACATTCTTACTGAAACTAATAGCACCATCTGTGTTGTAAAGAGTTCTCCTTTCTGGCCCAGGGAGGGCCTGCATAGTGATTGGATAAAGGGGCAGTGTGTCTGTTTTACCCACCAAACAGAGTGATTGATATGCATCCCGGTGCTTCCCAGACAACACAGACTCCCCACCCCTCCCCAGACACAGATTCTCTCTGGGCTGGAAGAAAGGGAGAGCTTCCGGATGCATACTGAGTGGGAGGGTGCTGGGCACATCCCCAATCCATCCCAGGGCATTGGCCAAACTTCTCACATCAGTCATGATGTAGGTGGCTTTAATGATTTCAGTTGATTAAATAATACATTGACTCTAGGCAAAGGATGTATTTCACCTTTGAAGAATGTAACTTTCTAGAATGTACCCATGATCTAAATGTGCTCAGAAGGACTAAGAATTACTGTTGAGCCCAAGGACATGATGAAATTCCGATAATCTCTGTTTCCCTGTATCTCCTACACTTATTGAATGAAACTTGGTAATTTCCATGAACTATGGGAGGCGGGAAATCTAGCTGGATGAGTATCTTTGGTGTTTATTGTTTGTGTAGCCAAGATTCCAACTTTTTTGCCTTGAAACCTGTCTATCAACTTGCAAAGTACAGACACATTGCTGTCTTGCCGCAACTGAAGAATATTCTCTGCTTTATGATGTATTCTTTTAATCAGTCAGTAAACATGTTCATTAATCCTTCCTCTTTAAAATCTAAACTCTATAAATATGGGATGCTAAACATCAAGTTGATCTTAAGGTCAGCCAAACAGTACTGGGATGGAGTTTTAATCATTTCTTCTAGGGAATACATTAAGTTGTTTATTGAGTTTCAGTGATAAAGAATTGTTTTTATCCACAATGCATTTCTGGGTATTGCATTACATGGGAATGCTATACTTCTAATATGTTCCTTAAAGGCTTGGTTATCTCTGTAGCATTAACAGAGACAATATTGCTGCTTCTGGGAACCTCCTTGTAGTCCACATCTGTCCACTATTCATGACCTTTTCTTGGCAACCTATTCAGCAAGTTTCTTGTATATGTAACATCCTGTTACATTGATTAGCCTCCTCTCCTTCCACCACTTGCTAGTTAGGATGTAAGTTCAGCTACTGTAACAAAGACCCGAATTTACAATGGCTTAAGCAAATCTAAATTTATTTATCTCACACAAAACACGCTGGATAGGCATTCCAGGGTGGATAGGACAGATACAGTAGTTCTGTCCCATGAGGCTGTCCAGGAGGCCTTCTATCTCAGAACCACCAGTCCTAGAGTGCTTGTTTACAACTGCGTGTTCAAGATGGCTCATTGGCATGTCTGAATTCCAACTCAAGAAAATGAAAAAATAAGGATACCACCTGGAAAGTGTACACTTTTCTTCTGCCACAGCTGGCTGCAATTGTTACCTTTATTCAAAGGGAACATGTGTCCAACTAAAAATCAGGAGTTCTATTTCTGTAAAATACACTGACATTGATAAACAACTAGCAATCTCTCCCACATCAGCCATGCTAAAAAACACATAAGACTAGAAAAAGAGTATGGCCTCCAGGCCATCCCACATATGAACCACACACACACATACATACATACACACACACACACACACGCAAGACTCATTCCCTCCACATGCAAGGTCCATCACAAAAAACAAAGTCCTTCCATCAGGCAGTGCGTGCAGGGGACAGTGGGGTAGGAGAAAGAATGGAAAGAGAGTACCTATATAGTATTCATGAAACCAACTGAAGTAGAGATATTAATACCTCAATTTGACTAAAACATCACTGGAGTGGGCAGAGAACATTTGAAAACATCTGGAAAAAAAAGTTTATCTGACATTAGTCAAAATAGGTCATCTTAGGTTCAACATTAGAAAAGTAAAGTTGGTTTCATTTTCGGGCTCCTGGGCTTGGTGAATCCCATCAATGTGGCATGTGTCATCAGTTGCACACATGGCAGCTAGAACTGAGCATCTAAGGCCATTTCTCCACCTGCTTTATGCCCCTGAGAGGAATCATGGACAAACCCTGTCTTCCTCTGCTCCTTTCTCCTCTCAAAATCTACTTAGCCCACTACCTCCTATGAAGTCTTTTTCAGAACTCACCAGAGCCATTTCAATGTTTCTTCTTTGTCTTTATCTACTATATTTTGGTAAGTTAACTTTAGAAATCTGACTTCCTCATCATTTCTCTTTTTTGGGTTTATTGGTAATTCAAATACAACTAATACTACTCATAACTACTAATAACACAAATGTTAAACATACTCGGCAAGCATATGTGTAGGGATAGTAATCCTTCTGGATCAAGGAAAATGCAAGGTATATTTTGAAGTGAATTTGGACATCATAAAAGACTCGGTTGCTTTAAATATTCAAAATGAAAATAGATCAAAAGGAATAAAAGAACCTTGTCAAAAACTTTTGAATGTTCAGACTTCTCTTGAGAAGCTCCATAAAGCGTCTCCAGTTAACTATTCACCTTTCTCCAAGTAAATCTTTTTAAAAACTCAGCGTTCTCTCTATATAGATAGTCTTATTCAAATGTATTCCTTTTCTGTTTTACTCATTCGCAGCATTGTTTCATACTGTTTTTTAATGTACGTGTGCAGTCTTTCAGGCACTTTGAGTTGACTAGCCAGGGGCAAACATTCATAAGACAGTGCTTTGTGGGAAAACTCAAACCAACAGATGAAGTCACTTGCTGGATCTTAACCTATTTGTCAGTGGAGGTCTGCCTGTGTGGTCTAAACCTGTTTCAAAAATTCAACATTATGAAGAGGGGAAAAAAACCAGGTTTTTCAACTACACATATCAACTAACAGGACTTGGAAGACCTATAGCGATGTTTTGCATAGACAAGGATATACACATGTTAATGTCATCCCCGCCTTCAGTTCAGTTCTGGCATACCCACTCCTTCCTGAAAGGTGGGCCAGTGTCTCAATGTATGGCTATGCCTTAGGGTATTGGGGGAAGGGGGAACCCAAACTCTAGATTATGAACGGGCCTCAGAACTAGAGTGGAAAGGGGCAATTTATCCCTTGCCACAATTGTTCTCATTTTTCTAAGAAAAGATGCCTCTTTACCCTTAAATCCAATTACCTCAGAAATAATCTTCAGGAACCAGGATTTCTGAGGTGAGTGGAAGTGTTTATCCATGTGAACGTAAGTATTTACATGAGGGATGGGGAGCTGCGACGGCCACACAAGGTTGAACTGTGTGTTGGGGGATGGGTAGAAGTATGCAGAGGTGAGGTATGTGTGTATGTAGACGTGTCATCCATAGGGCCTATAAGAATGCCAAGAAGGAGATCAGATCTCAGAGTAAAATCAGCAACCTGGGCATAAAAATTCCAGAAAATTTGTTCTATAAAATGTAATCATTGTTGCCTAACTTTAAGAGATCGTGTTTGGGCAACACTGGGAGGATTGAGACAGAATCTGCTAGATTTTTCTAGGAATTCAATTCTGCATCTGCCCCCAAAAGAAAGGAGTAGGGGAGATTTGAAAGGGAGGAAGACTCTTTGATGAAGACAGTGACAATTTAGTGCAGGCTGAGAATAATACAATGCTACCCATAATCACTGTTACTTCGTGTTTTCTTCTGGAAAGACTAGGTAGTCGAGGTTACTTATGTCTGCTAGACCACAGGTTTCATTCAAGTGCACTTGTGGATGGAAATAGCAAGGTTCTACCATCGTTTGTGTCTTTATGTCTCCTTACCAAGGAATTTGAGAAGGCTTACAACAGATAC